TTCTGTGGCCCTAATAACGTTTCTGTGGCCCTAAGTAACAATTCTCTGGCACTGAGTAACAATTCTGTCTGTCCCTGATTATGAATTCTGTGGCCCTAACTAGCGTTTCTTTGTCCCTAAATAACGATTCTGTGGCCCTCATTAACAAGTCTGTGTCCCTGAGTAATGGTTCTCTGTCCCTAAGTAACTTTTCTCTGTCCCCAATTATCGTTTCTGTGGCCCTAACTCTGTCCCTGTCCCTAGTACAGAGCGGTCTGCCTCTGTTCAATAACTGCAGGCAAATGAAGAATTCCAAAATGGCCGCTATTTATAGCTCGACCATTACACAGTGCTGGCTGGCTGGCTGCTGATAGGCTGATGCGATCACATGTAGTTGAGGAATGCATTATGGGTCAGCGCGCCTTGTCTGCGCGCCTTCCCAGACATCCCCGCTCCGTCGCCGCACATGTCAGCCGCCATTTTCTGAAAAATTTCGATTCGCGCGCGTCCGAATTAGGCTATTTTTCGGATTCGGCACGAATCGAAATTTTTCCGATATTCGACTCGAATGTGGTCTGGTCTGCTGCTGCTCTCTGCTCACTCAGCTGACAGGCATGGCTCTAACCTCCTTACACGTGGCCCTGTGGGTAGTGGGAAGCTCACATAGAGCCCCAGAAAGAGGAGGCCAAATAGCGTGATACTGTTTCCAATATTGTGAAGTTTATTGTATCCAGCAAGCAGATAAAGCATAAGACAAAAACAGCTACTAACCAGATATTGTGAATCCAAGATGGATGTAGGCACACCCCCTATGAATACGTGCAGTTGCATGAAACACGTCAGGGAGGAGCTACAGTGCAGTGACGTCACGCCGCCGGCGCCACGTGGGTCCTAGTGGCCATCTTGGATCCACAATATCTGGTCAGTAGCTGTTTTTGTCTTATGCTTTATCTGCTTGCTGGATACAATAAACTTCACAATATTGGAAACACTATCTCGCTATTTGGCCTCCTCTTTCTGGGGCGCTATGTGAGCTTCCCACTACCCACAGAGCCACGTGTAAGGAGGTTAGAGCCATGCCTGTCAGCTGAGTGAGCAGAGAGCAGCAGCAGACCAGACCACATTCCAGAGGCAATCCCGGTTAACCTTAAGAGGGATATCTCTTATATGCGCATACTGATTGCGCATCTGGTGAGTGCGCAGTCTTTTACCGGTTTGGACACACTATCACCTTTTGAGTATATTACTGGGATCCTTGTGATCTTCCATGCACCTAACCCACTGCGATATTGTTGACTATATACTCACACTCATCATTGATTAGTCACGGCGCAGTGACACAAATAATTAACTATATGTGTGGACTATATACTTTGCACTTTATTATTATATGCACTATTGTGTGTTACGTGTAGTCTCAATAATTATTATTGAACACGCTGAGTCACATTATTGATTGGTTTATTGATTGAGCACTTTATTATCAGTAATATATCTGAATATGTTTATATACATTATTTATTATATTCTTTCATTTTTAACGCTGCACCCATTACTTATATATAGCTGTCTTTGAGTACCTTTTTAAAACAGTAGTAGAATCTTCTACTGTGTTAGCTATGAATTAATGTGGAAACTTTGGAGTTAAGTGAAATCCATTATTGGCTAACTTTTATAAATACAAGCTTTTGGGACGTGTTAGATTAGTTCCTGAGAGAATAGCATAACGCCTGGAGATGGAACTTACCATGGTATGAAATGTTGCATCTTTATTAACTTAAAGTATAGCCTCCCATTAAATGTGCTGCAGTGTTGGAATAGTGTTCATGTATTTTGCGTCAATTACTTCAGTGTTCATTAGAGATATATTCTTCAACCAGTAGATGGCAGTGTTTATAAGTTTGTAGTTGCATCTATGATTAAACTCTATGCCTTTTCTCTATAATAAAGTTCCTGTTTCCTGTTTGCGTAGAAACAGCAGATAAACACATGTCTGTTCTGTAGGGCTATAGACAGAATCTCTAACATGCAGCACCCATTCAAAGTTCCTGGTGATTCTGCCAGTGAAGTCCACCTAATGCAGCTTTTTTGATGATGTGGCTGCACTGCTTCTGAATTCAGAGTTGTCACTCCCTTGCAGGCTGTGCATGATTACAATAGATCAATGAATTGCAGCGCTAGGAATAAGACTACCCAATTGCAAATAGCAAACTCTTCCCACAATGTCCACATCTACAATACATCAAAGAATATCCAAGCACTTCCGTCGATCAATGTGTAGGGAGATCAGTGTGAGAAGAACACCCCCACCACCATAAAAGTTAAAATCTCACCAGAGAGCAGGTCCTCACTGTATGAAACAGGTCAATATGCATTTGAGTTAAATTGTTTTCAATTATCCACCATTCCTGATTGGTAACGGTTACAAGCAGGGAAGTGAACACAGGAGGGTAACTATAGCACATATGGGGAGTTCTCATCTGCCTCTTCCCGTGGAGTGGCAGCAATACTGCACCACTCCTGAATCCAGAGCAGAGTTTCCACTCTCATGAAGGGTGTGCCTGATTACATTATTGTTGGATCAATGTTGCAGGGTGTGTGGCTATCAACATTGTCACTGATGATGAAAAGCAGTGCTTTTGGGCTCAAGTGTGCATAAGACCTAATAGAAAGTTATGTCCTATTTACAGCATGCAAAGGATTACATTATTTGTGCCTTGGTTCACACTGACGCAGTTTTTGCAGCGTTTTAGACCACTCTGATTTGCATGACATGGTAAATAAAATGATTTCCTATGGAGGGCGTTCACATCTATGCAGTCCCACACACAGTGGGGGAGATTTACTAAAACTAGTGCACTCAGAATCTGGTGCAGCTGTGTATGGCAGCCAATCAGCTTCTAAACTCAGCTTGTTCAAGTAAGCTTTGACAATAAAACCTGGAAGCTGATTGGTTTCTCTGCAAAGCTGCACCAGATTTTGCACTCTCTAGTTTTAGTATATCTCCCCCAATGTGTTTTTACCCTAGGTTCACACCTAAGCATATTCTGCAGCATTTTGCAGGAACGCAGTACAGTCCATTTAACATGATTTCCTATGGGATGTTCATACCTGTGCGTTTTCACCTGATGCATTTTTTTGGAAAGGGTCAGGGACTTTTTTGGGATGCAAAAAGTTGCATTTTTTGTTCTACAGACTTCAATGAATTGCATTTTTGCCGCATTTTTGGATGCGTTTTAAATCTGCCTAGCAACAAGAAAAATAAGTTCATAGGTGTGAACCTAGTCTTAAAAAGGGTTGTGTGTGTGATTGGAGTGGTGCGATCCTATTTTGAACGCAATAGAGTTGAATGTAAAACGATTATCTGTTCAAATGCAATGCAATTTCAGTGCGTTTGCATTGGTTGTAATACAAGGCGATTCCAGTGCATTTGTATTAGTTGTAATACAAGGCGATTCCAGTGCGTTTGTATTGGTTGTAATGCAAGGCGATTCCAGTGCGTTTGTATTGGTTGTTATGCAAAGCGATTCCAGTGCGTTTGTATTGGTTGTAATGCAAGGCTATTCCAGTGCGTTTGTATTGGTTGTAATGCAAGGCGATTCCAGTGCGTTTGTATTGGTTGTAATGCAAGGCGATTCCAGTGCGTTTGTATTGGTTGTAATGCAAGGCGATTCCAGTGTGTTTGTATTGGTTGTAATGCAAGGCGATTCCAGCTGTGTTGAGGGGAGAGAGATCTGCAATGGCACAATGAGTGAGAGAGAGAGATACAGAGAGAGAGAGGGAGACTCTACTAGGGCATAAAGGCAAAACTGTATGAAAATCGCATGGAAAATGCATTGCTATTCCAGGTAAATCGCATCTTAATCCTTGATTCACACTGGAAAACTGAAGAAAATCGCACCGTTTCAGCGTGAACCTAGCCTCACTATTTCCCAAGAAAATACCTGCAGAGCACCCATCCCTTCAATAATCCCTAGGCATCCTCCACTGGCCCAAGGCCCAAATAATCTGAAGACTAGCATGGCAGAAAATAATAAAATCAGATATCAAATATCATTAAGTTTTTGAATCATATTATTGTTTTTTAGACTTTTGCACCTTCAAAGCCCAACAGCCTACTCAGACCGACCAGGCTCGGCCGTGAAGAGACGGAGCTGCAATGCCAGGCCGGATTCTCCAGACAGGCGCGTTGGCCCCTGTCAGCACATTGCAGGCTGATCACATTAGGATTCTAATGAGCTGCATCATAAAGGAATCTGGAGCAAGATAATCATGTTAGAGAGAAGAAGACAGGAGCAGCGAGACACCCAGACCCTAATCACCGCCTGTATTTATGTATGTGTTCAGCAAAGAACATCATTACATTGCTTATTTTCTGTATTTACCTTAATAGAACAGCAGCTCCTTACATAATAGACCGTACAGTGATTGGCAGGCTGAGGTATTTATAACGGCGCAGGTTTTAGAAGCCTTATTTAAGCAGCGAACCAGAAATGAAAAAAAGTAGTCAAAACGCTAAGGCCGAACAGGAGTAGAGCTTGTGATGGCTAGATTGGGTTGCTAGGGGGTCATATGGGGTACAGCAGGAGATAAGAGCTGATACGCAAAAGAAAATTTACTCCGGGGCTTACTCATAGGGCTCATCTCACGCTTTATGTCTGCATGAGTGTCTTTATTTAATAAGCAGCCCGAGGTCATAACCGAACACCTCCAAATCTACAGTGTATTGGAGATGCACTATCTGACACACACATAAACGTCAACTGTAACTCGAATTTTATATATTCACTATTCATATGCATTGAAGATGGGTAGCTACATATGTAAATTGTTACAGTGGGAACACAACTGAGGTTACTCCTACTGTAAGGACCCTTTCATACGGGCGTTCCGTATGTCCGTTTTTCATCTGTCCGTTTACGGAATGAAAGACAGACACCTATGTATTTCTATGGACTAGCGCAGGGCTTAAAATTTCAAGTCCTGAGCTACTAGCCAGGCCTTAGAGTTACTCGCCACCAACGTACACACACACACAGACATGTACACACATACACACACAGAAACATGTACACACACGCACAGAAACATATGTACAGACACATGTATTCCTAGATTGTAAGCTTCAAGGAGCAGGGCCCTCGAAACCCTCGTGTATTGTATTGTTACTGTGCTGTCTCGTGTACTGTCTCCCATTATATTGTACAGCGCTGAGAAAACTGTTGGCTCTATATAAATACTGTATAATAATAATAATACACACACAGACATGTACACGCATAAACACAGATACATGTACATACACAGAAATACACACGCACAGACACATGTACATACATACACAGACATATGTACACACAGACACATGTACGTACATACACACAAACACACACATGTACATGCACACAGACACATGTACACACACACATACATACACGCAGACACATGTACAGATACACACATACACAGACACACTCACACACACACACCCCCATAAAAAGTTGCAGTACTTCGTTGTTCACTCACAGATCCTGGTACTGCACTCTAGGGGGAGGCAGAGAGCACAGCACACGCTCCTTGCTTTGCTTTCACTGCGCTCAGCTATTGAGCAGTCTGACGGCTCCCAGTGCCAATGACAGATCCGGCCCGAGCTCCGAGCCTGCTCAGCAAGACGGCCCTGGGGGACACACTCGCCTCCACCATAATTTCCACTCGTCATTGGCAAGCAGGCGAGCGGAAATTTCAAGCTCTGGACTAGCGGATATAAACAGATGATAATCTGTTTACATCCGTTAATGCCTGCATCCGTAAACCCTATTTTTCTTCCATAAAAAAAATGGACCGTGCAAAAAACAGATGTAAACACACAAAGATGGATGCAAACAGACAAAAACAGACAAATCGAATATAAACTGACAAAAACAGACAAAACGGACGTAAATTGACAAAAAAAAAAAAAGGATGTAAACGGACAAAAAAGCATGTAAATGGATGTAAATGGACAAAAACGGATGAAAACGGACAAAAAAGGATGCAAATAAACAAAAAAGAATGTAAAGGGATGAAATATGGATGTATACTGATGAAAAACGGATGTAAACTGATGTGAACTGATGAAAAACTGATGTCAACTGATCCAGTTTTTCTTGGAAAAAACTGTGACTGAACTGATGAAAAAAATGGATCGCCCGTGTGTAAGGGGCCTAAAGCTGACCATAATTAAATTAAATAATAAAAATAATACACCAGGATTACCGATTTCATTGATCAGTTAGGATAATCAAATCATTTCTGATCAATGTGTACCTTAATCATTTGACCTCCTGAAGGTTTTACTCTCTTCATGACTAGGGCATTTTTTTTTTGCTATTCAGCACTGCATTACTTTATTTTTTATCTAAATATTATTTCATTATATAAACAAAAAAAAGAAAATGTTAAAGAATAAATATTTTCTACTTTGTTATGTTTATTTTTTTCAGCGCCGTCAATTTACGCAGCGCTTTACATATATATTGTACATTCAAATCACTCCCTAACCCTCAAGGAGCGTACAATCTAAGGTCTCTAACTTACATTCATGCATACACATACTTGGGTCAATTTAGACAGGATCCAATTAACCTACCAGCATGTCTTTGGAGTGACTGCCAGGCGGAAGTGCTAACCATTTAGCCACTGTGCTGCCCATATAAAACATATCCAATAAAAAACATTTTAAAAAATGTAGTTTCTTCAGAAATTTAGGCCAAAATGTATTCAGCTACATGTCTTTGGTAAAAAAAAAATCCCAATAGCTGTATATTAATTGGTTTGTGAGAAAGTTATAGCATCTACAAATGATGGTATACAGTGCCTTGAAAAAGTATTCATACCCCTTGAAATTTTCCTCATTTTGTCATGTTACAACCAAAAACGTAAATGTATAGGGTGATAACCTTCTGTCCTTGTCTACCTGTGTTGTCCCCCAGAACCCCAATATTAAAATGTTATAAAGGCACAAATGTTTGCCTTGGCAATGTGTTTATGCCTATTCCTAGGGGGCAGGATAAGGAGAGCTCTCAATTTCAGGGGGCACGTTACTATCATCTGGTTTGACCAATGGTAAGAATACAAAGAGGGCAGCAACTTAAGTACGGCCAAAAGCATCGGTGATTTGCAACCTGGAATACAGTGCCTTGAAAAAGTATTCATATCCCTTGAAGTTTTCTACATTTTGTCATGTTACAACCAAAAATGTAAATGTATTTTATTGGGATTTTATGTGACAGACCAACACAAAGTGGCACATAATTGTGAAGTGGAAGGAAAATGATAAATGGTTTTCAAAATTTTTTACAAATAAATATCTGAAAAGTGTGATGTGCATTTATATTCAGCCCCCTTTACTCTGATACCCCTAACTAAAATCTAGTGGAACCAATTGTCTTCAAAAGTCACCTAATTAGTAAATAGAGTCAGCTGTTCTGTAAAGCCCTCAGAGGTTTGTTAGAGAACATTAGTGAACAATCAGCATCATGAAGGCCAAGGAACACACCAGACAGGACAGGGATAAAGTTGTGGATAAGTTTACCCACTGCCTATCCGGCCAGTGGGAAAATGACGGGCGGGACTCTCGTGATCCAGATGCGCGTCAATCTGCAGGGCCGCGCTGTGGCGATATCTGTCACCGGCTATGTACCTCAGACACAGCTGATGACAGATCTGTGTACTGGCACGTTGCCAGTACCATGTGACCTGCTGTGACCAATGCGATCCATTTGTGTCATTAGCTGTGCTTGGTCACAGTGATCACATGCACAGACTGGACCAATCACAACCCATCTATGTCATGTGATTAGCTGTGGTCAATCGCAGCTAATCACAACAAAAAAATCTGAATGAATCGATTTCAGTCAGTTAAATGCTTGCTTATAGCAAAGAAATGCTTTGATATACGCAATCATATTGTATAAAAAAAAAATACTGATCACTTTCCCAAAGTAGTACAATATTACTACTTTGGTCATAGTATAAAATGAAAAGAAAATCGTAAAAAAAAGAAAAAAAATAATAAAAAAAAAGAAAAAATAATAAGATAAACAAAAAATTGAACGTACTGTCACCAGTGTCCCTGATCACCACCATACCAGTTATATGATGACGATGTACTGCACTGGTGACAGTATGTAAAAAAGAAAGAAAATTGTGAAAGTATTTTTTTTATTTCATTTTCCAAAAAATTATGACAAAAAAATTACAACTTCAAACAACTCACCATGCCTCTTATGAAATACGTCAGACTGTCTACTTTTCAAAAAGGGGTCATTTGGGGGATATCTGTACTGTTCTGACATTTTTGGGCCTCAAGAAATTAGACTGGATGTCAGTACTTCAGAATTGATCAATTTTCAGATATATCCTATAGTTTGTGAACTCTATAACGTTCCTACAGACTAAATAGTAAATACTGATTTGGGTTATTTTCACCAAAGAAATGTAGTAGAATATATCTTGGCCTAAATTTCTGAAGAACAATTATTTATTTGCAAATTTTTATAACAGAAACAAAGAAAAACTTGTTTTTTTTTTCAACATTTTTGGTCTTTTTTTGTTAATTTAGCAAAAAATAAAAACTCCAGTGGTGATTAAATACCATCAAAAGAAAGCTCTAGTTGTGTGAACAAAATTAAAAAAGTTCATATGGGTACAGTGTTGCATGACTGAGCAATTGTCATTCAAAGTGTGAGAGCACTGAAACCTGAAAATTGGCTTGGGCAGGAAGGGGGTAAAAGTGCTTCTTATTGAAGTGGTTAAAGCAGAGTAAGGTTATAAAACCATTTATCATTTTCCTTCCACTTCACAATTATGAGCCACAATTATGTGTTGGTCTATCACATAAAATCCCAATAAAATACATGTATGTTTTTGGTTGTAATATGATAAAATGTGAAAAATTTACAGCGGGTAAAATAAGTATCGAATACGTCACCATTTTTCTCAGCAAATATATTTCCAAAGGTGCTTTTGACATAATATTTTCACCACATGTCGGTAACAACCTATGCAATTCATACATACAAAGAAACCATGACAAATAAGTTCAGAAATTAAGCTATGTGTAATAAAATGTAATGACACTGGGAAAAAGTATTGAACACACTAACTGAAATGTATTTAATACTTCGTACAAAATCCTTTGTTGGTAATGACAGCTTCAAGATGCCTCCTGTATGGAGAAACTAGTCGCATGCATTGCTCGGGTGTGATTTTGGCCCATTCTTCCACACAAAAAGTCTTCAAATCTTGAAGGTTCCGTGGGCCTCTTCTATCAACTCTGATCTTTAGTGCTTTACATAGATTTTCTTTTGGATTCAAGTCAGGTGATTGGCTGGGCCATTCTAACAGCTTTATTTTTTTTCTTTGAAACCAATTGAGAGTTTCCTTGGCTTTGTGTTTGGGATCATTGCCTTGCTGAAATGTCCACCCTCATTTCATCTTCATCATCCTGGTAGATGAGAGCAGATTTCTATCAGGAATGTCTTGTTCCATTTTTCCATTCATCCTTCTTTCGATGATATGAAGTTTTTCAGTACCGTATGCTGAAAACAACCCTACACCATGATGTTCCCACCTACAAACTTCACGGTTGGTATAGTGATTTTGGGTTGATGTTCAGTGCCATTTGACCTCCAAACATGGTGTGTATTATGGCATCCAAAGAGTTCAGTTTTGGTCTCATCTGACCAAACTATATTCTCCCAGTATTTCACAGGTTTGTTTAAATATTGTGCATTCAACTTTAAATAAGCTTCAACATGCTTTTTCCTCAGCAATGGAGTCTTGCGTGGTGAGCATGCATACAGACAGTGGCAGTATGCATTACTTATTGAGTGCATTACTTATTGTTTTCTTTGAAACAATTGTACCTGCTAATTACAGGTCTTTCTGAAGCTCTCCACAAGTGGTCTTTGGCTCTTGAACAACTATTTTGATAATTCTTCACTCCACTGTCAGAAATCTTGTGAGGAGCACTTGGTTGTGGCTTTTTTATGGTGAAATGATTACTTCCAGATTATGGCCCCAACAGTGCTCACTGGAACATTCAGAAGTTTAGAAATCCTTCTGTAACCAATACCATCAGTATGTTTTGCAACAATAAGGTTGTAAAGGTCTTGAGAGGGCTCTTTCCTTTTACCCATCATGAGATGTTTCTTGTGTGACACCTTGGTAATGAAACACCTTTTTATAGGCCATCAGTTGAGACTGAACCAGCTGATATTAATTTGCACTGACAAGGGGCAGGATTGCTTTCTAATTACTGATAGATTTCAGCTGGTGTCTTAGCTTTTCATGCCTTTTTGCGCCTCCCATTCTTCATGTGTTCAATACTTTTTCACTGTGCCATTCCATTTTATTACACATAACTTCAACTTATCTGTATTGGTTTTTTTTTGTACAAATTGATTGCATGGGTTGTTACCGACATGTGGTGAAACATTCATGTTAATAGCATCTTTAGAAATATATTTACAGAGAAAAATGGTGACATGTTCAATACTTATTTTACCCTCTGTATACTGGAATTTACGGAGCTATGACGCTATACTGGTAATGGCAGTGCTCAACGACTTATAGTGGGACTGTGACAGTTTGGTGGTAACAGACCCTCGCTGGGAGGTACTCTAACAGACACTGACATCAATAGTGACACAGTGATCAGATATAATTCTATACACTGTCACTCTACTAATAACACTGGTTGGGAA